TGTGCAAGGAAAACACCCAACCAGCTATACTATCACTCCAGCCCTGACATAAAATTTAACCATGGATATTACTTAGAAACAAGAACGGTATTACAAATAGCAAAGTCATGTAATCAGACACATGAGAGCAACTAATAGAGGCTCATTTAAAATAAAAAAAAATAGGTGAAGCATGGGGTCAAACGTCACATTGATTGGTCAGACACTCTGTCCCCAGCAGTGAGAGTCACCCAGAATTAGATAACACTCAGATGACTGCCTGACATTCAGAGTAGAGATGGATAACTGAGCTTTCAGTCCTCCCATGATTTATAAAGAAAATATCCCAACATTTTCAATACTAAAATCTGAAAAAACGGCCAGATAGATAGTACAGCAAGTAGGGCACTTGCCTTGCACAAAACTGATCTGAGTTCAATCCCCAAGCTCACAAGGATGTGATTCCTGAATGCAGAGCCAGCACTAAGCCTTGAGCACCACCACACGTGGCCACAAAACCAAAAAATAAAATGTGAAAAAAGGCATTTAGGAAAATTGAAAGTCAGGGAGATAGTACAGAGGGCGGGGTGTTTCCCTTGCATGAATCCTCATCATTCCATATGGTCCCCTAACATCTCCAGCAGAAGTGATCCGTGAGCGCAGAGCCAGGAGTAAGCCCAGAGCACTGCTGGGTGCACCCCAAAAACTGATTAAAAAACAAACAACCCATTAAGAAATCAGAATACAGTGCAGCACAATCCACTCAGCTCAAACTGTCATAAACAATCTACTTTGTGGGGGGAGGAGAGGGTGTGAGCCATACTCAGCAGTGCTCAGGAGCTATTCCTGGGTTCGTGCTCAGGAGTGACCCCTGGTGGTGCTCAAGGGAACACAGATAGCTTCAGGGATAGGATTTGGTCAGCTGAATGCAAGGTTGAATGCAGCCTTAATCCCTCAACCGTCTTTCGGGTCCCCACTTTTTAATCTCTCATATTATTTACTTGGGGGAACATCCTAGAAGTATAGTGCTCAGGCCTGGAAATCCAAGCCTACTCTCACACAGGTGCTGGGTTGGATCACATTGCTGCTGGGATTGCAGTGGGAGGGATTCTTGGCTTCTAAGGCTGATTGTCTTAGGCAACGACCTTCTCCAAATGCCTTGTGATACTTCCCTGTGAGACACACACATTTTGATGAAGTTCATCTATTTTCTTGTGCGATGAAGTAAAATTCATCTATGCCTATACTTTGAGTGTTGTATCAAGATATCACTGTGAAGTGTTGTAGAGATTTCTCTCTACACTTTCTTCTAGTTTTCCAGTTTCTGCTCTTGGTGCTTGGATCGTTGGACTTTTAGTGTTTGAGTTCATGTTTGAAGATGGGGTAAGGTAAGTGTTTAACTTCATTCCTTTGGCTTTTATATCCAGTTTTCCAAGGGAAAAAGTCTGTAGTTTCCCCTTTGAATAGCATTGGTACTTAGGTTAAAAACCAGCCAACAGGAGAGTGCAACAAGAGAGATAGTACACCAGGTAGGGCACTTGCCTTGCATCTGGCTGACCCAGGTTTGATCCCTGGCTTCCCAGATGGTCTCCCAAATATCACCAGGAGTAATTTCTGAGTGCAGAGCCAGGAGTAACCCCTGACCATCACTGGGTCTAGCCTCCAAACTAAAAACTGAATATAATAAATCAATTACATATATGAGGTTTCTTTTTTTTTTTTGTATGTGTGACAGAATCACCCTATTTTGATGACAGCTGCTTTGGCATGTTTTGAAATTAGGAAGTGCAAGTTCTCCAATTTTGTTCTTCTTTTTCAAGATTGTTTTGACTATTTGGGGAGCTTGAGAATTCATAGAAATCTCTAGAGATGGGGTTTTCTATCTTGCAAAAATTGCTGTTGGAATTTCTCTTGCACTAAAATCTGTAGAGTTGGGGCCAGAGAGACAGTACAAGAAGTAATCCATTTGCCTTGTGTATAGCCATGTCGGCTGCCACCTGATTTGATGCTAGCACCACATATAGTCCCTTGAGTCCCACCAGGGCTTACTCCTGAGGGCAGAGCCAGGAATAGCTCAGAAGCACTTCTGGGTGTGCCCTCCCCCATAAAGCAAACAAAAAAGGAGTTAAACAAAGAGTTACCCTATGAGCCAGCTATCGCCCTCCTAGATATATTTGAAGAACTAAAAAGAGGGAGCAGAGACTTACATACCACATTCCTTGCCTCATTCACAATAGTCAAATAATGGCAATAACACAAATGCCAATCAATGACTACAAAAGCAAATGAATACAAAACAAGCCATACAATGGAACATTTCAGTCATGAAAGGGAATGCAGTTCTGCTCAGGCTGAGACACGAAAGCACCTTCAGTGCTGCTGAGGTGTAATAATCGCTTGCCTGAATCTTACCCCACTGAGCTGAGAGCGACCACCAAAGGCAGCAGCAGGTGCCCAGAGGAGCTGGTGAGACTCAGTCTTGACTCAAGCTCAGCTTTCTCTGCTCCCCCCCCCCCCCCACACACACACACATGCTGCTTCCGCTCCCATCCCACAGCCTTGGTCCTTAGTAAACATCTTCCACCTCAGACTCTGAGCAGTCGCTTTCTGCTCCCAGAGAACTTGATGAGGAACACATTTCGAGTGAGTCTATTCCACATCAGATGCTGACATGCATATTCTGCTGTGACAGTTTTATAGCCTGATGCCCAGAGCTCTCCCTCCTCACCTCCTGACGCACAGTTACACGCACACATATGAATGCACTTGCTCGAAGGCATGGGAACAAACACTTCATCATGCCCTGAATTCACCTTTTGTTGGGAGGTTTTAGGGCCACACCCAGTGATGCTCAGGGTTTACTCCTGGCTCTATACTTGGGAATTATTCCTGGTGCTGCTTGGGGTACCATATGGGATGTTGGGGATTGAACCTGAGTCAGGAAGCAACCTAACAGGAAAGGGGTTCTCTACCACCTGGGAAGAGAAGAAAAGACTCTGGGGATACAAGGAGGGGCTGGCTGGAGGGGCCTACGGAGCTATTTTGTTGTTATTCTGGGTCATACTTGGCAGTGCTCAAGGAGTACTTGTCTCTATGTTCAGAGATCACTTTTGGCGGGGCTTCAGGGTCTATATGGGAAACTGGAATAGAACCAGATAGGCTGTATGCAAGACAAGAGCTTTCCCCACCTTACTATCTTTCCAGCCCCAAAAAGTGCTTTGAAAGGAATACTATGAAGATGCTGAAGTGGTCCCTGCTCAATTCCCAACCTACATAGTTGAACACCCTGGTCTTTCCCAAGGTCTTTGTTCACAAGACGGAGAGGGATCCAGAGAGAAAATACAGAGGATGAGGTGTTTTCTTTGAATGAGGCTGACCTGGGTTAGATCCCCGTCATCCCATATGGTCCCAAGCACTACCCAAAAGCAATAAGAGAGCAGTTAGTGTGGGACTTCACATCCTTTGCTCCCAGGCCAGTGGTCATCCAGTCATCCTTGGTGACAGGGAGAAGTATGGTCTGCTCTACCAGCCAACCTGTGTGTCTGCCTGGGCCTGGAGGGGCACATGGAGTGCAGAGTGAGAGTGAAGGATCTCTGGATGATCTTAGCTGCTATCTAATTACCCATTCTCCAATATTCACAATAAATATTCATTTAAAATAATACATTTGCTGTGCAGATTAAGTTCAAAATTGAACATTTCAGCTTTAATGGTCATAAAAAAATACACTGTGGACAATGCATCCAGGTTTCAACTCCGTGACGATCCCATTTCCCATTCTTCTTTTTCACTTTTGCTAATAACCCCTTGCAAGTCTAGTTCAAGGTTAAATTGATCCTCGTTGTATTTTGTTCTTGGCTTCTTGGACAAGATTTGCATCCTCATGGTCTGAGCCTGGGCTCTGTTCATGAAAACATCCTTGTAGACAAGTTCTTGGGGATTCTCTTCGTGTCCTTCATACTGTCCTCCTCAGAGATGGTATCATCCTGCACGAACCTGGTTACTGAGTTCTACAGCGTGGTCATCCCTTTTCCGAAGAGCCTCCAGCTACAAGCTGAGGCTGCTCGCCTGCCTGCCATGTGGACTCTAGCTGGCTGCCTAGTGGGCTCCCTGAGCCCTTGCAGTAGCCACAACTCTGGGGCTGGTCCCAGTTCATGCAGTCCAGCCCGCAAGACTTTCTCGCTCCTGCCCCCAGGAAGGCGCGGGCTAGGGCCTGGGGAGTCGGGGTGTGTGTGCTGTGGGCTGCCGAGGTCAGGACCCGCATCTCTACCGCAGGCTGCGCAACGTCAGGCCAGTAGAGGCGTGAGGAACGTTAGACCGTCCTGGTCCAGCCTCGGTTCGTACTCCCCTCGCGTCTCTCCTCTCCATGGATCCGTGCGCTTTCGAGAATTGAGCTTTTTTCCAGAAGTTGGGATCGTCGGCGCGAAGGCCTGGGCGGCGACGGGCAAACAGGCACCCAACTGCTGGTCCGTGAAGGCCCCACGCAGTATTTTTTGACTCTGACAAGTAAAATCACGAGAGTCTCCTCATGCAAATTAAACACTGGACCATTAAGAGGACTCGGGACTGCGTGGAGAAACGGCTGCTTCCAGATCTGGGTCACAGAGTACAACTGAGCCTGGAACTCCGGCCGCGAGTTGCCCCTCAGGAAGGACGTCGAGGCCGCCGAAGCCCCGCAAAGCTCTGAGCGGGCGATCGCCGACTGCGCGAGGCCAGCGAGGGACCGGAAAGAGTTTGTGCTTCCGGCTTGCTGACGTCAGCACCGCCGACCAATCCCCGCCGGAGGAGACCCGCCGCGGAGCCGGCCGTCTCCGCGCAGGCGGGACTACAGAATCCACCCTCCAATGAGAAGCGGAAGCTGAGGCCACGCGCCGGAAGCAGCGGTCTAGAGCCAATCACGGCCCCGAAGGAGCGGCGCGCGGGACGCCGGGCGCTGTAGTCGCGCCGGGGCGGGACTCCGGGCCCACAAACCCTCGCGCGGACTGGGCTGCAGCGCGGCAGCCGGGAGCCGGCGGGCTGGGCGGAGGCGGCGACGGCGGCGGCGGCGGCGGCGGCGGACGAGCCGGGCCTGAGCTCGGAGCCGGAGCCCGGCCGCGGCCACCATGTCGGCGCCGTCGGAGGAGGAGGAGTACGCGCGGCTGGTGATGGAGGCGCAGCCCGAGTGGCTGCGCGCCGAGGTGAAGCGGCTGTCGCACGAGCTGGCCGAGACCACGCGCGAGAAGATCCAGGCGGCCGAGTACGGCTTAGCGGTGCTGGAGGAGAAGCACCAGCTCAAGCTGCAGTTCGAGGAGCTCGAGGTCGACTATGAGGCCATCCGCGGCGAGATGGAGCAGCTCAAGGAGGTGAGGCAGACCTGCAGGTCCGCGGCGACCCTTCCCCCGAGCCGGCACCCCCGCCCGGCTGCCCGGCTGCCCGGCTCCACGGCCGGCGAGTGCGAACGAGCCTGGGCCTCCGCGGGCACAAGTGGCACCGATCGAGCAAGGGGCTGGTGCCCTCTGCGGAGCTCGGGGAGGTGGTGGTGGGGCGTCGGGAAAGCCCAGGCCCGCGTCTCTCCATCACCTCTCGCCGTCCCAGCGGCCGTTTCCCGTCTGGGAACAGCTGCACCAGCCGCTGCTGTAGCGTCCCCGCGCGTCCCCGGGCCGGCGAGGAAGTGGCGGGGGCTTCCCCCTGGTGCTTGTCCTCCCGTACTTACTGTTCCGGGAGGGTGCCCCATGCCCACCATGCTCCGGATCGCCTGCAGCCGGCTTTCCGCTCCCTAGCCCTCCCACCGCAGGTTGGTCTCCTAGGAGGAGGACAGGTTTGCAGGGTTTGTCCTAGAACGAGCCTTGTGCCTTCTGGGGGGACTTGGTGCACCCTGCATTGCTCCTGCTGCCTGGTTTTAGTGCTGTGCCCTCCCCAGGGACCCCATCCCTGTGCAGTGTGGATTGGGACGGATCTCTGGTGTGTGACTGGGAGGGTGCCCCAGTATTCCCGCTTTTTTGCTTGCCTGTAAGGGTCGGTTTGAGGGTCCTGCACTTGTCGGGGTGCCTTGAGCTGTGTGCACCATGTCCCCTCAGTTCACCCCTCCTGCTCCAAGGAGCCTCTTGGCCCTTAGGCTGTGTCCCACCCTCCATCATCCAGGACCTGCCCTTGATCTGTGTCCCACCCTCCATCATCCAGGACCTGCCCTTGATCTGTGTCCCACCCTCCATCATCCAGGACCAGCCCATGATCTGTGTCCCACCCTCCATCATCCAGGACCAGCCCATGATCTGTGTCCCACCCTCCATCATCCAGGACCAGCCCATGATCTGTGTCCCACCCTCCATCATCCAGGATCTGCCCTTGATCTGTGTCCCACCCTCGATACCCAGGCCCTGCCCTCCTGTGCTCAGCTGTTCTGGGGCAGGTGCATGGGCCATTTGGGAGCTCAGGCACATGGCTTGGGCCTGGAGGGGCGAGGGTAAGCGAGCTCTCCTTTCACACCTGCAGAATCAGTGCCACCGTGAGAGGGTGAGGGAACAGAGCCCTGAGGAGCATACAAAAGTCTCGTCTTGGTGTAGGATGAGCCCAGCTTCAGGGAGCCTTCCCAAGACAGAGCGGTAGTCCAGAACTAGGAAACTGGCACTGTCGCCCCTCCATCCTCTTCTTTCTGGGTCCAGATCTTGCTCCGTGTGCAAGGCCGGGAGGCCCCTCTTACATGTGTGGGGATCCCCCGACTATCAGGCATAGCGTAAGAGCAGATGGGTCTTTCCGCAGGAGCCAGATCCCCAGGGCCCCTCTGCAGTCTGGCCTTTCTGTTTGCTGAGTGTGTCGGCCCGCCGGGCTCTGGAGGACCAGGAGGAAGACGCACCTTCATAGGGAACCTGAGGACTCGGCCAGCTAGACTCACTGTCACCTGATATCACACTCAGGACATAGGCCTTGGGCATGACTGAGGGGCCTGAACGCCGCCGCTGCCCCTGCTATGGGGGTTCAGGGTGACCCCTTTGGCCGTCCCTATGGAAGCTGGAGGAAAGGGTTGGTCTTCGTCAGTGTTGGCAGTTAGCTGGCGCCTGACCTGCCACCCATGAGTGCAGTCCCTTGTCAGCTCACGTCAGGGTCACACCGGCCAGCGTTGACTCTTGGTTTCAGAAGACAGTTATTGGGCCCTGCCTCCTCCTGTGGAAGGTGAACTGTTGTCTTGAGCCTGTTTCTTTTCTTTTCTTTGGTCTTTTAGCTATACCCAGAGATGCTCGTGGCTTACTCTTGGGTCTGTGCTCAGGGATCACTCCTGGGCTTGGGGGGCTGGGGAAGGAACCTGGGTCAGCTGTGTGCAAGACAAACACCCTGCCTGCTGTACTCTTGCTCCAGCCCTTGAGCCTCTTTCTTGCTTGCTTGCTTGCTTTCTTGCTTTTTTTTTTTTTTTTTTTTTTTGGTGGTGGGGTATCACATCCAGCGATGTTCAGGGATTATTCCTGGCTCTGCACTCAGGAATTACTCCTGGCGGTGCTCAGGGGACCATATGGGATGCTGGGAATCTCACCCGGGTTGGCCATGTGCAAGGCAAACACCCTACCCGCTGTACTATAGCTCCAGCCTGTAGTCTATTTCTTAAATGGAAGCATGTTTGGTCCTGACAGATCCTGCTACTGATGGGGGGACATGGGATAGGAATGGAGGGGGTGGCACACTTCATACTCCTGCCTTGTGGGTGGGCCTTGTTGGAGGCCTGGGTAAGCAGGTTCCGGGCAGGATCTGGGGAGAGCCCGTGGTGGCCCCTCGGCCTCCTATGCCTGCTTGACCCTCTGATGCCCTAGTGCATGTGGCCCCCGCTGGCTTGTTGTCTGGACCCATGGTTCTGTGACTGCTCAGGGCTCCGTCCTCAAGTGCCCGCTCCCCTGCCCAGAGCACTGTGGGGGGGTACAGGGGGGATGGCCCTCTGAGCTCTCACTTGTTCTCAGGAATGCCAGTGCGGTTCCTCCAGTGAGACCCAGGCAGGTGCCAGCAAATGGTCAGGCCCCTGCTTCCTTTAATGTCCCGAGAATGGGATGGCTGCTGGCTGCCCCGGGGAGCGCTGCAGAACCTTGGGTGCCCCGTGTCCGGGCCTGGGAAGTGGCAGGGAAGCTGGGGAGGCCACTGTGGCCTGAGCACGGCACTGTCTCTGCCCCCACCTCCTTGCCTCTCCCTGCGTTCCTGCAGCCCCACCTGCCCTCCAAGGCTTGGCTGCCTCTCTCCAGACTTTCCTGCACCCCATTTCCCAGGTCAGTCCCCTCCCATATCCCATCCAGATGTCTCTTCCCAGGTATGAGTGTCCTCTTGGTTCGTTCGCTCAGCCCTGCAGGTCTGGAGTCGCGGGTTTCTGTCTTACCTTGGAGTCACACTCCAGCACTGCTGCGTTTGCTTGTTCAGCTTGTTCCAGCCTATCCCCCTAATGCTCTCTCTCATTTGACTCTGCCCTTGTAGGAATTTCCTTCCCCCTTACTCCACACCCGCTTTTCCTCCTGCACCTCCCTCCCGCTCAGGAGACTCCACAACTGCAGGCTTTTCCTGGCCCCAGAGCCATTTCTGCAGGGAACCTGGGCGTCTCTCTCTCTCTCTCTCTCTCTCTCTCTCTCTCTCTCTCTCTCTCTCAATGACTTTATTTACTTCTTAATTCTTAGTCCCATTTCTACCACCGCCCCCCCATCCCCCATCCATCCCTCAGCCTATACCCAGCTGTCTACTACTTCCAGCTCACTGCTGTGTGTGGGGAGTCACTCTGGCAGGACACGGGGCCCACGTGGTACTGGGAGTTGAGTGTGGGGCCTGGAGAGCTGTTCCAGAGATCAGGTCCGGGTGCCCAGTGTTTGCTGCTGTCCATTCCTCAGCTGGCAGACCTGCTCCCCCGGCCATGTGTGCCCTCCCGTATGGACCTTTATCCCCATGTCTCCAGTTCTGGTCCCTCTGCAGACGGAGTTGCGGAGTTGCGCTCCCTCCCTGGCCCCCTGCGGGACCCACCTGGCTCCCCCACCCAGGTGTTGGGCTGTGGCACACATGTACCTCAGGTCAGGAGTTGGCGGGGGAAATGCCCTTTGTCACTAGTGTGCAGCCTTCCCTGCGGTTCCTTGCTGGTGGCTCTGATGCCACTTGTTTCCAGTGTTCCTCCGTCAGCGCCTGCCGCCCCTTCCCCTCTGTGGCCTCCTGTCACCTCTGAGATAGATTGCTTTGCCAGTGCTGCCTGTCATCTGGGGACACCCTGGCCTCCAGGATGCTTCTGAAAATGCTCTGTACATTGACCTTCGTGCACTGCTCTGATCTCACAAATGCACGGTGTCAGTTTTCTCCCGTGGCAGTGTCAAGCAGGACTCACTTTCCACTGCCCTGACAGGCCCCTGCACTGCTCTGGTCTGCCCCCACCCCTGAGACCCTCTACTGACAGCTTGTCTCAGCCTACCTCTGCAGCTTGGTATTCCCCAGAGTGTCTCATGCTTAGAGTCCACGGTCTGCCCCAGGCAGTTTGATCTCTCAGCCAGCTCATGTGCTGAAGATTTGTTTGGTGGCGTTAGGAGGGTCCTCCCAGGCAGTCCCAAAGGGACCATGGGGCTACTGCCTGTGCTACTCAGCTCCCCCGAGAACACCAGGGCTGTCTCAGTGCTGGTGCTGACTGCCCGGGTCATGGTACCTAGTGTTGCTGGGGGGTCAGGTGGGGTGTAGGTTTGCTCTAACCACTGAGCAATATCCTCTACCCTGATAACTTTTGTTTTTTTGGGCTTTAGGGCCACACCCAGCTCCTGTCTTAGCTCTGTACTCAGGGATCGTTCCTGGTGAGATTTGTAGGACCATACGGGATGCTGGGGATGGGTCCACCATATGTAAAGTAAGTGCGATATGCTCTGCGTTATCTCTCTGGCCCTCCCTAATAACTTTCTTTAATCAGAGTTATCTTTCATTGTATAGATGTACCTCTGCTTGTTTCTTCATCCAAACTGGGTGTCTTTGCTGCTTCTGGTATTTTGGGCAACTGTTAATAAAGTTGCTATAAACATCCCTGAGCCACTGTTTGTCTGGGTGAAAGTTTCCAACTCGTGGGTGAAGTGCTCAGGAGCACTATTGCTGGACCTCAGAATTTGAATGAGTCTTTTTCCTGTTTCTGAGCCCTTTGCTCCACGACCCTCAGTGTCTCCAGGCCGATGTTTTTGGTCTCAGCCCTTTGATAGTGTTTGGTGGATCTTGTCAGTGTGATTCACCTTCCTGAGTCCTGTGCGGGAACCTGCTGTCTGCTGCCGGGACCTCTGTTCGGGACCGAGGGGGCAGGTTGGGTTGCATTCCTCTCCCCGGGCTCTGTGACAGGTGTGGCAGGCAGCCAGCATAGGGGCCCTCATGGCTGCTGCAGTGGCCTGGG